TGATACTGAGAACTATATATTTGGCCCTAGTCGTATTGAAAGTAAACCCAAAGATAAATGAGAATGTTACCATCATCGCAGATGAATGATTGTGATGGAGGATTGACATTGTTGGTACCTTCAGATATTAAACATTGATTGTCTGTTGAGAAAACATGGTTAGCGCTATATTCAGAATAGAACATTAAGCAAGTGTCTGAGCTAGGATTCTCACCGTTATTTATTATTCTTGGCTCATTAGGGGATTCTACACCACTTTCTAGTTGTGCACTTTCAAAAGGGTCTTCTAATGAGACTGATCTTGTATTTATTCTATTTCTGAAACTTTCATTACGACGAGCTACCAATGCTTGTCTTTCTCCATGCGTTACGTGCTTTCTTTCTGTTCTTATAGGGGCAGAGGGCGACATATTTGATGCGACATATCCAGGGTTCTCCACTGCAATGGAATATTCGCTAGGAGTGTTTCGTCGCAATGCATAGTTAGCATTAACCTTGTCTATCTTAGCTTGCTTTTCTTTCGGATCCATATTCTTATATTTCATCCGATCACTCTCTCGCCTTGCTTGGATTGCAGTTGAATTCTCATCTGTATTCATGCGTTTCAAAGCCTTAAGCTCATTTTGACGCTCACGTCTTTTATGCCTTTGATTGGGTGTCAAATTTGCATAACGGGCCCTATAATTTGATCTTTTTTCTTCAATTGCCCTTGTACCCTCTGGTTGAGGAGTACCACGAGTAGATTCTGGTTGTTGCATCTCCTGTTCAAACTCGCCTAGTGGAGGGGCGAAATTATCTGTACAGTTTTCAAGTTCCGGTTGCATTTGTTGTTCAAACTCGCCTAGTGGAGGGGAGAAATCATCTGTATAGTTTTCAAGTTTATTTAAAATTAAATGTAGTAAAAAAATATTTGTAAGCATATAATGTGTAACATCAGTAGAAGTGGAGTCATAACATTATGATATACCAGTTATTTCAACATGGTTGGTTTGTTCGGATTGTGTAGTATGCAATGAACTTGATTGATCCTGTTTCTTCACGTATGCAAGGGCTCTTGAAGTTTTTTTGCATTTATAGGCTTCACGGCGTTTTTTTATTTCATTCTTCCTTCTTCTCATCAGTCATCTGTGCGTACCGCTCCCTATCTTTTTGCCTTTTTCGTGCATTACGATCCAAGGGTGGGGACGTCAATCCAGATGGTGTCACACCAACAGCTAGCTTAGAAGATGAATCTGACAATAAATATTACAATATAGTTAGGCTACATTCAAATATCAGTATAACATCGACTACTATTCAATCAAGATCAAATATTGTTGCATTCATGTGTGATCACAAAGTTTCAGAAAATATTCAAAACTACATATCAAAGATGAGATTCAGATCTGTAATTTTCATCAGTTTCAGGACACATGCAGTATTTGACACTGTCTAATTCTGCGTCTTCCAACTGACACCAAAACTTTTCTTGCAGGTCACAAATCTAGGCTTACTAAACCTAAAGGCTTTTGTAGCAATGGAATGCCTGGTGCTAGTGGTTACTTGGGCAGCAATGGTGGTGATGGTGGGTATGGCAGTACACCAGGAGCCCAGGAAGAAAATACATGGTCAATAGGTAAGATATATGGTAAGTTCAATTACCACACCCCCTCTAATCGTTGCGCAATTGCTGGTTGTAAATTGATTGGTTTATGCCTATTCGTCGCGGAGTTCAATTATGTTTGGTTTGTGTTTACACAATGGCAATTCTACCTCATGATATTGATATTGATGTGTGAGTGCTTATGAATTGTTGTGTAAACCGTGTGAAATCCGTATTGCCGGTGAGGTTTGTTGGCCCAATTTGGTGGTTTGGTCTGAATATGCAAGTCGAACAAATCAAATCAGTATACCACTACTCTGATACGGCCATGTGGTGAATAGAATTATGGTACCATTGACATTGAATTCGAATCATATACTGTGCTGCTTAGTGCCATTAGCATGGTCAGTACTCAGAAAGACTGTTACTGGCCTAAGTTTGCTGATCTGAAACTTTTCCGGAATGTTAGCTTCCAAACTTCCAGTCTAAACCAAGTCTAAATTAGTAGTACACTGTCACTTGTTGATTTACATTGCACAACAAATAGTAAAGCCTGTTTCTGAAACTCGGAAACACGGAGTTGGGATGTGGCTATGTACGGTTTATGATTTGCTTGCTGTTGATTTCCTTTTATGTAATTAATAATGAAATTGAAATTGCATTCAGGGTTGAGTTTATTGATAACCTGGAATCGACATTGATTGGAGGTGCCTTAACGTCCTCGACGAAAAAACTTGTGATCTTCAATTGCCTGTAATTGTATTTGAGGTGCCGCGTCGTCGAGGAAGAGCTATGCAATCTATATTTTCTTGTGCGCATCTATTATTTCTATTGTCTGTATGTAATTGAATTTGTGTATCATGTATTTTAGCCTGCAAAAAAATCTGTGCAATCACGTTAGTGGAGTGCGCTAAAAATAGCTAAAAGAAAACCAGGATAGAATCTGACTCGGGGCGCTAAAAATAGAATCCTGGACAAATTAGAATTGGTGTGTATGGGCTTATAGAATTTGGTGTGTGTGGGCTTATAGAATTGTGGGCTTAATCCTGGACAAATCAGAACCGGTAGAATTCTAGACAAATTAGATTAGATAGATTAGATTGGAATTGGTGTGAGTATGGGCTTGTAGATGGACCTAGAATACTGAAATCAGTTTGGGCTTGTATTGTACTTCCATATGGACCGAACCAAAACAGAATCGGGCGGATGAATCGGATCGGATGAGTTTAGCGCGATTAATGATGGACGAAAATCCGTGATTACTGCGATGTGACGACCGGAAAAATCCAAATATTTATATTAGTTATATATGTGTGCCTAGATTCATTACCATCTATATGAATGTGGGTAATACTAGAAAGTTTTATAACCTGAAACGGAGGTAGTAGCAATGTAATACACTAACTCTAAGTAAAATTATTTTTTATAAGGATCTAGTTGGCTAATTAATTTCTTTGAAGCTGGGCAAAAGTGAATCTGGACGACCCTGTCCCTAAACATGATCATTATGCCAGTTGCCAGCATTAATGAAAGACCGATGGAGGAATAATTTCCCGGGTAGCGACGCGCCAACAACGGACGGGCGACGACGGCACCGATCGACCCGACGTCGCGCGTGGACCACTTTCCCCACCCCTCCTCACTCTAGTCACGTGAGAGCGAGATTCCGACTCCATGGCGCCACTGCCATTGCAGGTGTTTGTGAGCCCAAACCAACCGACCGGCCCGATCCAGCATCTCATTCCCCCATCCACCTGCTTGTCCTGTCCATATTTGGGGGAATCAATCAATTATCACGCGAGTTGTAAGTCCAAACTACCAGCACATCACACACTGGCACCCTGCCAAAGTGGGAATAAATTCATCGTTGGTACTACTAGTACAAGAGAGAGAAGAGAGGGGGGAGGATAGATCAGCAGGATGAAAGAAAAAAAATACATATGGAGAGCAAAATTCAGTATTGGTTAAGGGAAGATTGTGGTGAGCCATTCGCTTAAGAAAAAGAGTTTAAGAGGTTACAAGTAAAACCGAAAGCAAGAAAAAAAAAGTCAAAACATTATCGGAAAAACGACTTTATTTCTAACTATATGTACTTAGGTTATACAAGTATCCATTCAGATTTATAGTTAAAAATAAAGTTTTGGTAGGGTGGAATAATAATTGGGTAAACTTGACAAGTGCGCCCTTTGATCCATTTATTAATTATTTGAAAAAAAAGAACCGGCTAAAAGTTTTTTGGCCAGGATCCAAACTTACCTTTGCATCCTGTTTTGAGAGCTCGGGATGTTGAGAAGTAGTTGATGAGTAGCTAGTTGTTAGTTTTTTAATTCTAACTTCTAGTTTATTTTTAAAATGTTAAGATTATACAACAATAGATTCTTTGAATTAGAGAGCTCAAAATTCTTAATATTAGTTGATGAGTAGTCAACTGATGAAAAATGCTATGTTTTTCAGCTTCTGTGTCTTCTTTTTTTTTTTTCAGATTTTACAATATCAACTTCTCATTACCTGATTGTTTGGAGATTCATAAGACCTAGAAAAAACCATAGCCGTTAGAAGCTCCCAAATACCATAGTCTTTAGCTCTTTGTCATGCAAACTGCGGTAAAAAGAAGGGTATAAATTAGAATTTATACTTCAAAAGAAAAATGAAAATGCTTGAAAACTTTCATAAGTTTTTCTGTTCCCGTAACTTTTAGATTTGTAGCTATCGGATTGTCTTGAGATTTGAGTATGAAGTAAAAAAAATTGCTACAAATAATTTTCACATACCATAAGTAAGATCCGGTGCTAGCCAACCAAACCACAATGGAAGGCACGTTTTATATAAATTATATCGTAGTTACAATATAATTTACAGTGCAACTATAGAGTGTAACTATAGTGTAGTTACAATGTAATTAAACTTTAATTTTACTATAGTTATATCTTAAAGTTTTTCATGAAAAAAACTTGCGGCATCATTTTAGATATTTAAGAAAAAGAAAGAAAGAGTTGCTAGCTAGACCAGCACAAGTGAAGAGCATTTAATTTTTTGTCACTTTTAATATGTGATAATTAAGAATTTGACATTCATAGTTTATAACATGTGGATCCTCCATGTGTCTATGATATATGGGTCCGATAATTAATCCTTAAGTAATACTCCCATCGTTTTTAAATATTTAACACCGTTAACTTTTTAGCACAGATTTGACCGTTCGCCTTATTCAAAAACTTTTGTGAAATATATAAATTTATATGTATACATATAAGTATATTTAACAATGAATCAAATGATAGGAAAATAATTAATAATTAATTAATTTTTTTTAATAAAATAAATGGTTAAATATATTTAAAAAGGTCGACGAAGATAAATACTTAGAAATGGAGCGAGTATTTGTAAGAGTGATATGGAGGCGAGGAGCAGCAAAGGCAAAGCACGCAGGTGCGGTGCGCCCCCACCCAACACTAGTCACTAGTTTCCAGATCTAAACCCCACGCCACCCACCACCTTCAACGTTAGACCCACGTTCCTTCCAAGTTCCAACCAACCACGACGACGACACCAGTCCACCCCCAGTCGCCTCCCGCTTCCCTCCGCCGCCTTCCGCCGCGATCCCCATCCCGCAGGTAAACCCCTCCTCCTCCCCCCTTTCCCGCGCTCCAATGCCCTACCTCCCGCTCCCCCCGGCTGCTCGGTGTCGCCTTCGCTGGTAGTGGTACCCCTCTACTACCAGCTGGTGCCAATGCGCGTGCCGTACGCCGCCGGCGAGCACCGGTGGCGCTCTAACTAGGCGGGGGAGCGTGCGTCGTTACGTGCTGCCGCATCTCGGAATGGTTTTGTTTTTTTTTTTTGTTTTTTTTTCTTTTTGGGTTGGGTTGGGTTGGGTAGTTCACCAACGCAGGCGCCGTGTCCGCTGCGAACCAGAATTCGGGATCAGATTTGTTTCGGTTCAAGCGTGTGCCCGAACGGGATTTGTGTTTTTTTTTTGGGGGTTAGTGGAATCACGGAACTGGGGGTGGTGGATCGCTGGATCAGTAGATGGAACTCACTGCTCGGGACTTCGACAATTGCAGCGGGGGATCCAAAATAGATAGTGACATATTTGTCGGTTCTTGGTGAAATCGATCCGTCAAACTAGCTTCCTCTTCTTGGGTATTGTATATCTGATATCCAGAGTGGTTTTGTTCACCTTTCAGATCTCTGCATATTACTATACTACTAGTACTAGTTAGTGTGGAAAGCCCTGAGTTGACTGAAGATCACTTCATCTTAGCCCTGTTACACTTGGTTGCAGTAATAACCTGACAGTTGAAGGTGCACACTAGCAACTTACCAACCGAATGTTGGACGTCCTTTGTTTTTGGCTTCTGATTATTATATGTATTGGTTTAGAAGTCGCTTACACTGAAATTTCCATGTCATATGTGCTCTTTACTTACTCTATTGTTGCTTCAAGAAAGGGGAATTGTGAGGTGCATTTAATATTCATGCTGACCTCAAGTGTGGTCTTAGCAACCAATTTCTGTTACTACCTTTATTTTTTCCCATTTCACTGTGTCGAAGTGTACAATGTATCTGGGATATTGTGTTTTAGTTTTGCTAGGCCTTGTTTGTGCTGTTAGACTTTCTTTCGCCCATTTTGAAGGCATGCCAGAGATTTTTTTTTCCCTTCTAAAATTGAATATTTCGTTCTCTCATTCGTGCCAAAGGCAAAGAGCATGTTCTTTTCTACAAACTGCTAGTAAATAGTAATTGCTTCTATGCTCTCACTAGACCTTTAGATCCAATGGTTGTTACTTCAGATTATAGAGGTACTAGTCTCATGATATTCTTAAGTGGAGACTAATCTGTGACCAATCCCTTCTTCCTGATTGAAACGCCTGAACCCTGGCAATTAGAACTTGACCTGTTCTACTAGTCATTGTTACCTCCCATTATCTGAAAGACTTAACTCTTTGTATCAAATGCAAGTCTTTCTCTAGTTTGTAACAACATGGATGGAAACCACTCTCTGAAATGCTAACATGTTATTCATTCCTACTTTAGATCAGCGTTTGTAATGCTTCTGTTCATATCAGAAAGCAATCCCCAGATGCTGTGTGCCATGCATGAATTTGTTGAAATATAGAGCTCTGTGTTGTCAGAACAGTCTAGGAGATGTGGTGAGCCCTGTGGGCAGTGTAGTACTAAGACTGAGAGTTGGTTATTTACTTATTTGTATTCAGTATGGTCCCTCTTGAGACAGTTTGATTGGGTTTATTAGCGACTATGAGCACATAGCTATAGTCCCAGTTATATTTTGGTTGTAGTCGCAGCATGTAATTGGTAGTCTTGACAAGGATAGGTGTTTTATCCACGAGCATCTCCTGTTCTCTATCTTTGCATCAGTACATAATTCCCCTCAAAGTAGCTTTCAAAATTCCAGAGGTGTAGCATGGAAGCACTTCTGGTTGACACTATACTATCCAACTACTAATTATTTGTACCATATGTAAGGGTTTACTAATTGACTATATATTGTCTATTATACTGATATAATAGAATTGAACAGCTCATAACCTGACAATTGTCTTTTGCCTTTTTTAGCTGCCGTAAACATGCTTCATCATTCGAATAGCCGGCACCAAAGGAACAGAGGATCAAGAGTCAAAACATTACTCCAGGCTACCTTACTTCTAGGTGTTGTTGTCTGGCTTATGTACCAGGTGAAACATTCCTATGATAAGAAAAATGAGTACTTGGAAGATGCTGAGAACCAGCTTGCCCATGATGATAGAAGCATGTTCCAGGGGAGGAAAGAAAGGGGAGGTAGTTATGGTGATGGCATTCTGGAAAAGGGTGGGGAGAACCCTGATGTAGTAAGCAAACCAGACGAAGAGAACATTGGAGAAACTGTGTTTGAGAAAGACAATACTGACTCTCATGATGATGATATAAGAAACACTGACAGATCAAAAGCTGGTGAAGGGCATGGCAGTAGTGCAGATGGGAATACAGAAGCTAATAGTAATGATGAGGATGGAACGACCAATCACTCAGAAGGAGAGAAGAGTGACGCTGAGTCCAATTCATCTGACGCTGAGAGTAAAGGTGAAGACCATTCAACTGGAGATGATATGCCCCAAAGCAATACTGTCCTAGAGGAAAGCAGTGCAGAGACGAACAGAATGCCCCATGAAGAAGTTGCACATGGTGATGAATCTACTAATGAAGATCAGTCCAATGTGAAAAGTGACGGATCTAATGAAGAGGAAGCTGAGAAAAAAGAGGCAGTGGATTCTCAAAATGCTTCTGAATCTCTGTCCGATGATGCGAAGGGTGGAACAGATGATGAGCATTCCAGTGGAACTCTTCCTGATGAAACAGGTAATCTACCATCAGGGCAGAATGAGAACTCACAAAGTGATGCGACTTCCACCACATCTGATGCTTCTAGCGAGGCTGTTCACATTGAGACTGGATCTGAGAATGAAGATGCAGCAAAATCATCTGGGACTGCATCTGGTGATGATGACAAGGGCTCAGCCAATGAGGCATCTGATTCAAACGAAACAAAATCTGATGAAGGCAATGTGGCAGCAGAAGTTTCTAATGACCAGGCTGCAAACACGGAGGCAGGGAACTCCCAAGAAGCGTCTGCTGCAGAAGCTGCAAATGGCTCTTCAGAAGAGACCAAGCCTGTGGAGAACCAGAATGATGGGAATACAGAGTCGTCTAACAATGGTGAGCAGGTGGATATCAAGATGGAAACCAGTGCTTCCACCAATGCCGAGCAGAAGGAATCTCAAGTCGGCGATGGCAGCTCTGGGTCGAACGGCTCAAATGACAGTGGCGCTAAACAGACTGGCACGACTGAAACCCAGTGATACAACAACCAATTGGACATGAACATTGTTTATTATACGGATTTATCCCTGAAAATTTAGACGGGCTACTGCACATAGAATTTTCAGGTTGAGGTTACGATCGTTTAGCTCATAGCAAATGTATGGTTGGTGCCAATAGTGCACTCTATGTGATCCGTGCTCAGAAAGACAATCGACTATCGAATGTATTTTCTTCTTGACTCGTGTGGCTTTGGCCGAGACACTCAAACCCTGCATAGTGATCTATTCATGAATTCAGTATAATATACGCGGAAGTTCATGTGAAATTCTGACTGTCTGAGCTTGCAAAACATTTTTTTTACCTGCTTCTTCACTGGTAGTCAGTCTGCTATTGTGGTACTACTATTTCCTCGATATCCTTTTTAATGCTTTTGAATCGAAAATTTTCCGATACATCTTAAAGCATTTGGACAGATGATTTGCACAAATGATTTGAGAGTTTTCAAGTTCAAACACTTTTGAATTCCTATACGTGCAAATAGTTTCCCAATTTCAACCAAACATGTAAGTAAACTAAACTATTATGTTCATGTAAGAATTCAACAGCAAACATTCTATAGTACTAATATTTACATTAAGCAAACAATATATGTTTCATGTCTGCATTCAGATGCCCTCAAAATGCTAGGGAACAGTAATTAACAACTGACAAAGACACTGCATATCTAATATGTCAGCAATGACATAAACCTGAACTACCAACCTGCATCCATTTCTCATAATATCTACAGTTCCCGTGGCTACAGCCGAGACGCGACGTCAGTTTCAGATACAGGAAACGAAACCTGACGAAACTGTAAATATGATACGACCGATCGGGTGGCTGGATGAGTTCAGCATGTGAAGCTCCAGGCTTTACGCAGTTACTGCGCATCCAAGTTGATAAGCTATAATGATTAAGATTGGTCAATTTATTACTACTTTTTTTTTCTGATCAAGAGAAAATGACATGAAGCTGAAAAAAAGCTGATAAGGGTCAAGGCCTATGCATGTATTTGGTATGATAAGTTGATGCCTTTTTTTTTGTGAAAAGCAGATGAGAGAGTTCAAATGATAGCTTATCACTTACTTATCGCTTGCCCTTTTTCCCCCCTTGAACTCTGAATATTTCTGACAAATTAAAATTTGTTGGATGTGTAGAGCTTTGTTCTGGGCTGCCAATGGAAGTTGCAATATATATGGGATCTGTACTGAAGAAACAGGGACTAATTATATTGGTTCAGTCAATGACAACAAGTAGCTAAATCCTCATTTTGTTTGGTCTTAGACAGTACTGTTTTACATTTGCACTTAACAGTGTCCAAATTGCAAACAAGCAAATTGACTTTCCCATCAGAGATGCATGAGAACTGATGAAACCATAACAGCCACAAGATGCAACCTGAACGGTATGTGGTTAATCCCTGGCCAGTGCTAATATCTGGCAAAAAGGTACCTAATACAATCTAAATCTCTTCTCTCAGGGTGACACAGTAGCTAGCTAGCATCGATATCTGATCTCGGAATCCTTCTGGATTTCGTTAATCTGAATCTTGATTATTAAGCTACTGAGAACAGCAACCACTAATCAGTAGTTCAGTACTGGTCGTAGTACAACTAACAGTGATCAGCAGCGGAGGGAGTCTGGACAGCTACCTTCCAGAGATGTCTCTTGGCGAGCTCCTCGTGAACTACTTGACTCTTCTCTTCATGCGTTTTCTTCAGATTGAACCCTGGCCATGCATGCTTACAATTAATGATTACCTTTTCATAAAGATTATTATTTTTAGAAATTATTCGTTGTCCATTATTGTTTTTTAATTAGCATCATCGGCCACTGTTTATATAACTTTTGTTTTTTTAATGGAATTACAGAACTTCTGTTGAAAATCAATCAGTTGAATTAATCAGTCATGCCAAGAGTCTCAAACATGGTAGGAAATTAGTTTCAGAAAATTCAAACCATGACAAAAAGAAGAAAAGAAAAGAAAACAGATCCCCGACAAAGAAGAAAACATACTCCTGAAAATGCAAAGTCGGATCAAAATTACTAGCAATATCTAAACCGCAACCACAATTGGCTACATTTCACAATCACCTTTTTGGCCATTTTGCACCTTAATTAATTTTATGCTGTCTATTCTCCCAAACTCACACACCATCATCACGTGCATAAGCTTACAAACCTACCAGTAACATCTCCACTTGACAAAAAGATGCATATATGATATGAACTAATAGCCCTTCATTAATTTTCTATCAAATCTTGAAGTTGCAATTTGCAATGACTTTAGATGCATCACCACGTAGCAACCACAAGTTACACGCAGCAATTTGCACATCACCTTTTTTGACATAATCTATGGCCATTGTTGGATGCATGCCAAGTTCATCAACCCTAGAAAACCTCTATAAATAACCACCATGCATTCTGCTCTCGAGCTCCTTATCATACAAAGCAAAAAGACTAAGCAAAACTAGGCAATTCTTGACACAACTCTACATTGCCAAGGTAGAAGAAGAAGAAGAAGAAGAGAGGTAGAAGAAGAAGATTGTGAGATAAGCCCATATGGCTCCAAGCAGAGAGGTTTGCGCGGTGGCGATGGCGATGGCGGCGCCGTTCATCGCGATGGCGAGCAACATGCAGGGCGTCGTCAGCGTCGACGGCAACGCGGAGAAGCGGCGGAGGACGTCCTCCGACGCGCTGCAGCGCACGGTGTCCGACGTCTCCTACGAGCTCCACCACCACGTCGGCGCCAAGGGCACCACCATGGTGGACGACGCCGCCGCCGCCGAGCAGAAGCAGCAGCTCGACGACATCGCGGAGGTGGAGGACGCGCGGTGCGAGTGCTGCGGCATGTCGGAGGAGTGCACGCCGGAGTACATCCGCGGCGTGCGCGCCCGTTTCGCGGGGCGGCTGGTGTGCGGGCTGTGCGCGGAGGCGGTGGCGGAGGAGGCGGCGAGGCGCGGCGGCGCCGGCGGCGTCGAGGCGGCGCTCCGCGCCCACACCGCCGTGTGCAAGCGCTTCAACGGCTTCGGGCGCACGCACCCGGTGCTCTTCCAGGCGGAGGCCATGCGCGAGATCCTCCGCAAGCGCTCCAAGCTCGGCCCCCGCTCCCGCTCCAGCATCAACCCCCGAGAGGCCCGCCAAGCCGGCGCCGCCGGCGGCGGCGGCATCGCACGCAGCTCCAGCTGCTTGCCGTTCATCACCGACGAGTTCAGCCAGCGCGTCAACATCAACTAGAGAGTTTCTTGGTTTTTTTAATTTCACTTAGCTTTTGGCTTGGCTACAAGCATAAATTAAGCTTTGCTTAATGTTTTCTTCTTAATTTTTAGGCTAGAAAGGGAGCATGTTTTACACACTTGATTTTTGGGGTGTGTGTGTTTTTTTGCTGCATCTTTTCTAGCTTAATTAGATAGAAGCTTTTGCAGAGTTGGGTAGCTTCAGCTTGTTGCTTTGTTTGCACTCCATGTGATTCGTTGCATGGAGTGTCAACTATGTTTTGGGGGTGCAATATTAAAATGTAATCTCACTAGCTAGATAGGTTAGTGGATGCATGAGCACCCTTTGATTAGTAGTGTGTTTAGGTGCTTTTTTTTTTGGATGGGGCTCTTGTTTACCTCTGTTTTGTGGTGTATTATATTGATTTTCACCACATGGAGAGAGTTGAGATTGGCCCTGTCTCTTCAGCTAACATGGAGTACATATGTAATGTATGCATGTAATATTGGAGGAGTAGCACTCCTAATCTTGTAATCAATAAATAAATGATGAACAAAATGTATGCACATGTGCTTATTGTTAAGTACTAGAAGAGCTGTTATTCCTTTCCGATCATATATATATATATATATATAGCAAAGTTCAGGACCAAAATGGAAGATGAAAATGTCAAAATTTGGAGGTCTATTCGTTTCCTTGGTTTTAAATAACTGCACTTTGTGAATGACAAGATAATTAGAAACAAAATTATAACATTTTTGTAAAGAACACCAGCATTTTATGATTTCAGAAACTTTTAGATCTTAACTAAGGGGAAGTGTTGAAGAAAATTGAAAGAAACATTTTATGATTTCAGCACCCCACTAATTCCTTTTCCTATTGAGCCATTTGGAACCAAAAGAAGTAAATTCTTTCTATGAGATTGTAGAGGATTAATTCTAGATCAAAACAAACAGAGCCACATAATTTCACTCAGATCACCAAACCAAACAAATCCTAGTTCGTGGCGCGCAAATACAAATTGTTGCTGTAAAATACTCACGAAGAATGAGAACTAGAAAAAAAAACTATGCAGTTTTGGCAGCACAAACCAAGTGTCAATCTATCGTTTCGCCGTTCAATTTCACAGCATTGTGCCTTGCTCTGTCTTTCCTCTGTTTTTTGCTCGTTTTCTCACGTTGTCTGGAAGGTGTTCGACGTATTGCTCCTCTACCACAAAGCTATTTAAAATTTAAATAAAGATTCAGATTCGACGGCAGAGTAGTGCCTCATGTCAGCTTGTGAACACAAAAATCATTAAAAGGCAAAGTGACTTAAAATAAATGTTCCTTTTATTAACATATCAATTATGTACAGGAATATGATTATATGAATAACTGAAGTAGCAAGGTCAGCCTCTACGAAAAACAACGAAAAAAATGTCATGAAACGCAACGAATTGAGATTGTTAGCACTATATACAATGTACAACTTCGTTAATTTACATCCGTGTCACGTTTACGTCAGCTGACGTCACCGAACTGAGCTACCCGGCGCACAGTCCCCCGTCGTCGCCGTCGGCGGCGACCATGTTGACGTCGCCGCCGCCGGCGTCGTTCATGTACGCGGACAGGTTGATGTACGGCTCCTTCTCCTGCTCCCGGCTCGGCTGCCGCCACCGCGCCCGGCACACCACGCACGTCGCCGCCCGCCTCCCCCGGCTCCGCTTCCACCGCGCGAAGCACTCGCCGTGCACCGAGTTCCGGCACATCGCGCACGTCAGCAGCATCGCCGCCGCCGCCGCCGCCCCAGGCGGCGACATCTCCTCCAGGCACACCGGGCAGGCCGCGCCGTCGAGCCTCCCCGACGCGCCGGCTGCGGCGGCCTGGTCGTCGCGTCGTCGGCGGCGGCGGCTCTCCTCGGCCTTGGCGGCGGCCCTCGCCGACCACAGCTGGTGGAACCTCTCCCGCGCGCGGGGCCCCGCCACGACGTCCGCCTCGGCGCACGTCGGCGCGGCGACGAGCCGCGCCACCTGGCACGGGCGGAGCGACTGCCGCCACACGCAGGCCTCGTCGAGCGAGAGGCCGAGCACGCGGAGGAGGACGAAGAGGATGTGCTTGCACGGCACGGACGGGTCCGGGCACGTGCACGCCGGCGCCGCCGCCAGCGTCACCGTGTACACGTTCCCCGTCGCGCCCAGCACGAAGAACTCGGGCCCCGCGCGGTGCAGCAGCCGCAGCTGGTGCTGCAGCGCCCGGATGATCCGGCTCGCCACGCGCCGCGTCACCTGCTCCTCGCTCGCCGCCGCCGCCGCCGACGCCGCCGTCACGGGCTCCATCGTGTCCGCCGCGCTGTGAGATGCACCAAGATCGGGGCGAGCTCGCGCGCAGCTATGTAATGGCGCGGGCTTCGGATGCGTTGAGTGGCGTAGGAGGAGAGTTGCGGGGGAGTGAAGCAAGCGGCAATGGCGGAGGAGAGGAGGAAGATGATGCAGCTAGGGCAAGTTAAGGACAACTAATGACATGGTGTACGAATCTTGGGTTAACTAGAATACTTAAGCAGAAGCAGTTTTGTGGAGTACTTTGGAAGTTGGGAGTTGGCAAGGTCAAGCTTTGTTTGGGTGATCCATGAAGCTACCCAAACCGACCAAACTGATTCGTATTTCAGAATGATGTATTGTTCTGTTCAGATTTGTTTGATTTGATTCCTTGTTTTGGTTTCTGGGAGTAGTTGGGATGCTCGTCTTATACAGTATTTTCTAGGATGCAAAATACGTAGACCAAAATACATTGGTTATGTGCAAATGGGGGATGAAAAAGGGGATCAGAAATGAAGGAAAAGGTTACACGGTTTAAAGATTCTGCTAGGACGTGTGTGTGTAATATAGAGGATTGGTTGCGATGTGTAGAAGAAATGGTCACGGGCCACGGCAGCGCATCTTGTACCGAATAATGCAGCTTTCGGACAAACTAGGTGTTAGCTGCCACGTTATCCCTAAAGAGCTTAATTGTCCAGGCATACCAAGACCCGTCTCTGAAATTCTGTATCAACTATCTACTGATGTTTAGCACGTGTAAATGGAGTTTATACTAAGGAAAATAGTTTACAGTAGTTAAAATGGAAGTACTTTGTTTTTATAAAAATGTTACCAACCCTGTTAAGCTTAGGCCCAGTAGGAGTAAGCGGCCCAATCCACGCGTCAGTGGGCAGAGTGGGTGGCGTGAGTGTTCAGCCTGTGTATATAAAGGCTATGCTGTAATCGAGCTAGTTATCGAATTGAAAATAGAAAAACTAATCCCCAACAACCTCTGCTTCTTCCCTCTCTCCCTCTGTTCATCTCTCTTCCTCCCCAAGTGCTCGGTCAAATTCCTGAGAGAGGTTGTGACAAAATTGGTATCAGAGCAATCGGCCCTGGAGTATCTTGAGAAGCCACGCTACCACTGTCGTGCTCAACTCAAGGTCCAGGAGATGGAGCAGCAGTTGGGAGATCTCATGGCAGCCATGGAGGCGATTCAAAAACATAATGTTGCAATCCAGACTTCGGTGGGATCAATAGAAGAAATCAAGCCCATGGTTGCTGAGTTGGTGGGATGGAAGCCAACGGTGGAGAAGACGGTGGCAGAGTTACGCGACGAGATGGGAGAACTGCGCTCACAAGTCCAGCAGCTCGCGAAGAACCCCATGCTGTTGGTCAAGCCGGCGGATCTACCTCCTCTGCTTCCGACTCCGCAAGGTCCCAAGTTGAAGGAGGCGAAGGAGGAGGAGCGCACTCCTGCGTCTTCTACAGGTGATGGGATCCGCAAGCCATTTGGTAACCACGAGACAACTTTGAACCGGGGGAAGGCTGCATGGGGGGAATCCCCTTCTCTGTCTCTCCCGGACAAGGGTGCATTCAATGCTTCTCCCCATTCTAATTCTGTTTTTGATTCGGGAGGGAGTTCGCGGGGATTTGGTGTGTTTGGTCATGGCTATGCGTCGCATGTGGATTGCCCTGGTTTTGAAGGGGAGAGTCCGAAGGCTTGGAAACTGAAGTGTGAGACGTATTTTGGGTTGTCTGGTACGCATCCTGAACACTGGGTTAGGTTAGCGATTTTGCAATTTTCGGGTGTTGCGTTAACTTGGTTGCAATCTACGTGAGCCCATGAGGTGTGTGGTAAATGGGAGGAGTTTACTGCTTGGGTGTGTGGGAAGTTTGGTAGAGAAGAGTTTCAGAGTTTAATTCGGCAATTTAATCGATTGCGGCAAACTGGGATTGTGTTAGCTTATGCAGAGAAGTTCAATGAGTTGATGCATGGGATGCACGCTCATCACCCTTCCTGGAACACCCATTTTTTTGTGACCCAATTCATAGAAGGGTTACGGGGGGAAATTCGCGCTACAATTTTGCTTCACCGGCCTGCCGATTTGGATACTGCTGTCGAGTTGGCTTGTTTACAGGAGGAAGTACTTGATGTTGTTCGTCGGGATAGGCGACGACATGAAATTTCTAGGACTTCTCGCAGTTTCTCTCGGGTGGTTCCGGTCGTCAATCAACCTGTGCGACAACCTGGGGGAGCTGGTGTGTAAAATCTGAGGACTCAAAGGCTGTCCCTGTTGATGACAAGTTTGCTACTCTTCGAGCGTATCGTCGAGCTAAGGGTCTCTGCCATACTTGTGGTGAGCGGTGGAGTCGCGAGCATCGTTGTGGACCCACCGTTCAACTTCATGTTGTGGAGGAATTGCTGCAACTTTTTTCTGTAGATGAACCTGTGTCTGATGAACCTGCTGCTGAATCTTTGCAAACTGAACCTGAAGAAATTGGTGAGCAGGAGGGTGCTCTGTTGACTATTTCTCGTGAAGCTGTTCTGGGCACAGAGTCACCCAAGTCAGTACGGTTGCAGAGTTTGATTCAGCACCATGAAGTACTCATGCTTGTTGACTCGAGTAGCACACACAACTTTATCAGTGTTCAATTGGCTGATCGGTTAGCTGGTTGTCGTCGTTCTGTTAAGCCACTGACGGTACGTATTGCTGATGGGGGTCTGTTGCAATGTGGGGAAGAAATGCTTGATTGTCAATAGTGGACTCAAGGGGAGTCTTTCTGTGCAAATCTTAAGATTCTTCCTCTTGGTTGTTATGAAGTAATTTTGGGGATGGATTGGTTGGAACGTCACAGTCCTATGCATATTGATTGGAAGAGGAAACAATTGCAATTTGAGCTAAATAATCGCACTGTGCGATTGCAAGGGGTGTTACCAGATGTGACTTCTTGTCCTCCTGTGTATGTTAATCAGCTGAAGGGACTTATTCATCGTCATGCTATTGTTCACTCAGTTGAATTGTGTGTTGTTGAATCCCAGGGAGTAGAGCAAGCTATGCCAGCTGCAGTTGCTAACTTATTGTAGGAATTTGCATCTGTGTTTGATGAGCCGACCGGATTGCCTCCTTCTCGAGTGTTTGATCATAGTATCCCTTTGTTGTCAGGAGCTCAGCTAGTGAATCTTCGTCCTTATCGCTATAATCCGGCACAGAAGGATGAGATTGAGCGCCAAGTGGTTGACATGCTTTGCCAAGGTGTGATTCAGAGTAGCTCCAGTCCATTTTCTTCTCCAGTGCTGTTGGTGCAAAAGAAGGACGGAACTTGGCGTTTTTGTATCGATTACCGATATTTAAACGTTATTACTGTTAAGAATCGTTACCCCTTGCCAATCATTGATGAATTGTTGGATGAGTTGGCGGGGGCCTGTTGGTTTACGAGCTTGGATTTACGAGCCGGTTATCACTAGATCGGTTATCACCAGATCAGGATGAAACCCGAGGATGAGCATAAGACGACTTTTAAGACACATCAAGGACACTATGAATTTCGAGTGATGTCCTATGGACTGACTGGTGCACCAGCAACATTCCAAGGGTTGATGAACATTATATTTGCTCCATTTTTGCGCAAAGGGGTGTTAGTCTTCATCGACGACATTTTGGTGTATAGTCGCAACTTGGAGGACCATGTGAAACTGCTTCGGGCTGTTCTGGAAATGTTGACAAAGCACCAGCTAAAGGTGAAACGTTCTAAATGTGCTTTTGCTCAGTCCTCTTTGACATATTTGGGCCGACCATGTGATTAGTGCTCATGGGGTGACAACTGATACTAAGAACATTCAGTCAGTGCGCAATTGGCCAGTTCCCCAGAATGTGAAAGAAGTTCGTGGGTTTTTGGGCTTGGCGGGGTACTACCGTAAATTTGTCAAGCACTTTGGTATTATGAGCCGGCCATTGACTGATTTGCTCAAAAAACATGTGGTATTCCATTGGACTTCCGAGACACAGGCAGCCTTTGAGGCCCTTAAGACAGCCCTTACTACTGCTCCTGTTTTGGCATTGCCGGATTTCTTGAAATAGTTTGAAATTGAAACTGATGCTTCGGCTTTCGGTGTGGGCGCTGTCTTGATGCAGGAGAATCATCCTCTTGCCTTCCTTAGTAAGTCCTTGGGACCACGAAATCGTAGGTTGTCGACATATGAGAAGGAGTGCTTGGCTATTCTTCTTGCGGTTGATCATTGGCGCTCTTACCTTCAAGGTTCTGAGTTCATTATTTGCACAGACCAGCGGAGTTTGATTCATTTGGGTGTCCAAAAACTCACTACACCTTGGCAACAGAAGGCACTTACTAAACTTATGGGTTCGCGTTATCGTTTGGTTTATAAGAAGGGGACTAATAATCGTGCAACCGATGCTCTCTCCCGGCGCGCTGCTGACAATTCTGCAGAGTTGTGTTCAGTCTCTGTTTGTGTTCCGATGTGGCTTGAGGAAGTACAAGCTGGTTATGCTTCTGATGCCCATGCCTCTCATCTTATTACTCAGCTCACATTGAAAAAGGATGTAGTACCTCATTTTTCCTTTGATGCTGGTATTTTGCGCTATAAAGGGCGAGTGTGGATTGGCAATAACTTTGCCCTACAGTCTCGTATTCTTCAGTCCTTACATGCTAGTGCCCCTGGTGGTCACTCAGGAGTTCAAGTGACTTACTCTCGCATCAAAAATCTTTTTGCTTGGACTGGTTTGCGGCGTATTGTCAAAGAGTTTGTTGATGAGTGTGCTGTTTGTAAGCAGGCCAAGGCTGAATGGGTACGTTATCCTGGGTTGCTTCAACCGTTGCCTGTGCCAGAGCATGCTTGGCAAATGGTCTCTCTCGACTTCATTGAAGGATTGCCGCACTCGTCGGGATTTGATTGCATTATGGTAGTGGTGGACAAGTTTTCAAAATATGCCCATTTTGTGGCTTTGGCTCATCCCTTCTCGGCGTTTGATGTGGCTCAAGCTTATCTCACCAATATCTATAAGCTCCATGGCTTTCCTCAATCACTGATTTCTGATCGTGATCGCATCTTTACAAGCACACTCTAGACTTCTCTGTTTAAATTGGCGGACACCCAGCTTCGGATGAGTTCGGCTTATCACCCACAGACCGACGGCCAAACCGAGTGGGTTAATCAGTGCTTGGAAACCTTTTTGAGGTGTTTTGTCCATGCCTGTCCTAAGAAGTGGT